ACCTGACTAATTAACCATTAATCAGAAAAGGACGAAGTAATTAGCTAAAATACTCACAGGCAGGTCGAAAAAACCGAACGGCCTATCCACTGTGTATTTTGGCTCTGTCTGCGTGTAATAATCGTCTTCGGGGATGATGTCGACGCAGGATTCTCTCTTGTAAACGACTATAGACATCTTAATATCTGTTGGTGTGACAAAGCGGAGAAGAAAAGTATTTTTTGTTGACACTTCTGTTGTTGCACCAGAGATAACACATTGCAGGGATCGTGAATGTTGAGCGATGGTGTAATGGTTGGGAGGTAATTAAGCGGAGAATTCTACTCTTCTATATTACGAATATATTTGTAAATAATTTTCAAAATATTGGCGTATTTATTATTTACATATAAGGAATATTGTATCACATACGCCTCGAGTGACTATGAATATAAAAGTTTATAATTCCAAAAATCTGATCAAGATCGAGAATTTCTTTTAAAAACTCTTCAAACTCGCACGCCAGAAAAGCTAAACGAGATGAAGAATGAACACTTTTAGGATCCGTAGAGACTTTTTGATCTAGAATATGACATTCTTCATTTAATAGAATGCCATAAATAATACAAAAACTTAAATCGAAATATCCATACGAATGCCACTCGCAATGACGTCATGATACATCAGTGACGTCACAAAAAACATTATCCCAATCTCCTTACAAAATAAAGCCTAAAAAACAGTCAAAACTTCAAAATATATATACCCAAAAATAAATCCAAAAATCTACATATCACCAAACCATCAAAACCGACGATCCTCCCCCGGAATAAAAAATCTAACGTTTCAAATACAGCCTTCCGTCGTATCCCTCCCGTGACGTCAGAGCGCGGTGGTGACGTCACAAGTCGCAAAGCATTGTGGGATCAGTCTTTCTGGTCGCGGAAACAACATGGTGAGTGAGCGCTCCTTCCGTCTCCGGACTTTGGCGTGATTTTTAACCTCCTGACGATGGGCTGGAAGGCGTTTCGAGGCTCGGACTGCGAAGGAAGGGCAATGAGTGACGAGGAGGAGAAGGAGACGCGGCAGTTTCGTCGCGAAATGAGTGAGAAATGAGGTAGACGTGAGGGGCGTCGGGGAAACGTGGGTTGTGTCGCCGATCACATGGTGTCTCGGGCGCGGGGAGGCCGGGAGGCAAAGGCCGCTCTTTTGGCTCGAAATTTCCCTCGGGTCGATTAAGTACTGGGAGAGTAGGTTACGGCGTGGTCCGCATTTTCGGGATATTCCCTCGAGGACGCGCGTGGACTCGAGGAAATGGCCGAGACGCCACCAAAACAACGTGGTCGCCGTGGGTCCGGGGATTTTCATAACACGCGATTTTGAAGGAGTTTCTTAACGTTGTTGGCGGTCGTCTTAGCGGGGAAATTAATCTCGTTGCTCTGTTTAACTTGCGCCTCGAACTTAGAGGTGGGGTTAACGTGTAGGACAAAAAGTAAATGCAAATGAAGTTTTCTTAGGGGCAAGTTTATGAAAACTGGTAAAGTAGGGTTTTTTTAATATACTTATTTTTTTTAAGCTTGCACAAAAACCCCTTACAGTAAAATTCTGTTGGTTTGTAGTTTCAGCATAATTAGTGTAATTCATTTAATCACACACTATTTGACTTGTATGTATTTATTTTATTGGTAAACAAGAGTAGTATAAACTAAAAGCATAGTGGTTATTATTCTAGATCACGTCTGCCTCCTAAAACCCACCCAATTTATTTGATAGTCAACTTGATAATTATAACCAAAATAATTGGCATAAGTAATAAGCACAGCATTGAATGCCCTAAAATTTCCATAACTTGCACAGTAACTCAAGCAACAGGGGTTTAGTTTTGTCAAGATTTCACTCAAATTAGTTTATGCTCTTTCTCGTTGCTTAGACAAAGTTTGCATTGCAGTCAGCGGCATTGGGGGGGCACTTTCCTCTAATTGAGGCTAAAAGTATGATTCTGCAATATGTATCCCTTCCATTTCGCGATTCAGTGTCGTCCTCCTTTGAATCTTCGTCACAATAGTTGTCCACATCGCAGATCTAGCACTACTCATTTGATCGAGTTTTTAGAAGTGCTCTCAAATGGCCAAATATTAGTAGACCGAAAAACCTTCCTTGCTCGTATGTATTGGAGGTGGAGTAGACTTTATAAATACAAGGAATATGTAATTGTCATGCTGCATTTCTCCTCTCCAGAGTTATTTGTATGAAAAGAACTGTTTTTCATTCCCACTTATCATAACCTTAAAAACTCTATACCACCACTGAAATTGGCTACAAGTTATAGCTCTTGTGAACTTCAGTGTTAAGTCCAATCTGTTACACTTCAATATATAGTCTAATAATGAAAAAGCCCAGTGTCTTAGCATTGCCAGAAGGTGGTGAAGTTTTGTTTTAACATTTGTCAGCTTTGTCTAACAGTATCATGCAGTGATATCCCATAGATGAAATATCCCATGATTTTTTTTTTTTTTAAGCTTGCACAAAGACCCCTTACAGTAAAATTCTGTTGGTTTGTGGTTTCAGCGTAATTAGTGTAATTCATTTAATCACACACTATTTGACTTGTATGTATTTATTTTATTGGTAAACAAGAGTAGTATAAACTAAAAGCATAGTGGTTATTATTCTAGATCACGTCTGCCTCCTAAAACCCACCCAATTTATTTGATAGTCAACTTGATAATTATAACCAAAATTGGCATAAGTAATAAGCATAGCATTGAATGCCCTAAAATTTCCATAACTTGCACAGTAACTCAAGCAACAGGGGTTTAGTTTTGTCAAGATTTCACTCAAATTAGTTTATGCTCTTTCTCGTTGCTTAGACAAAGTTTGCATTGCAGTCAGCGGCATTGGGGGGGCACTTTCCTCTAATTGAGGCTAAAAGTATGATTCTGCAATATGTATCCCTTCCATTTCGCGATTCAGTGTCGTCCTCCTTTGAATCTTCGTCACAATAGTTGTCCACATCGCAGATCTAGCACTACTCATTTGATCGAGTTTTTAGAAGTGCTCTCAAATGGCCAAATATTAGTAGACCGAAAAACCTTCCTTGCTCGTATGTATTGGAGGTGGAGTAGACTTTATAAATACAAGGAATATGTAATTGTCATGCTGCATTTCTCCTCTCCAGAGTTATTTGTATGAAAAGAACTATTGTTCATTCCCACTTATCATAACCTTAAAAACTCTCTACCACCACTGAAATTGGCTACAAGTTATAGCTCTTGTGAACTTCAGTGTTAAGTCCAATCTGTTACACTTCAATATATAGTCTAATAATGAAAAAGCCCAGTGTCTTAGCATTGCCAGAAGGTGGTGAAGTTTTGTTTTAACATTTGTCAGCTTTGTCTAACAGTATCATGCAGTGATATCCCATAGATGAAATATCCCATGATTTTTTTTTTGTTCTGTCTAACTTGTGAATTTCCAAAATAAAAGCATCTGTTTTAGAGAAAATGGGATGAGCCTCTTTATTAATTGTTTTCCAAGTAGTGGTATACATGTTTGCCAAATGCTCTATGAAGAGATGTTGGAATTTCAACTGCAAATATTCCCTTTAAAGGGTCAGCAAATAACCAAGCCAAATGCAAATTGTGCAGTGAGACTTTCAAGGGAGCAGTCTTTTACCCAGTTATGCCAAAATGGCTCATGCTACTATGCATTCGTATAGAAATGTGCATTCTTAATTTTCCACTCTTTTCAAACTTGGAATAAATAGAATGGGTTGCTTTATAGTTGTACAAGATTGAATGTAGGAATATTGGCATAACCTTTGAAGCCTTTCCAGTTAATATTTGGAGAATCAGTATCTTGCTCTTGCAGGAGCATTGACTGCATTTTGATGCCATGTAAATAAGTTCAGGACTTTTGTTCACTACAGGGTTATTCAAGCTATAAGCAGATATGTTTAATATTATAGGACTTACTTCCTTGAACATGCTACCCTTTTTATTCTCAAGGACTAGTGAGCCATGATTTTGACCTCTAATATGTATTATGGAGCTAACATAGTTGTGGTTGTCAACCACATCGTAGTTATGTACCAGCATTACCACTTATATGGAAGATGATACAAATGTGATGATAGATTCCAGGGTGTGGCATTGATTAGTTTGTTACTATTGTATCGTAACATGAAAAAGACTGTGCAGATAAAATGGCAATATAAGTAAGTGTTGCAAGATTTAACAATTGTAGACTTGGCTATTGAAAGAGGCAGATAGTGATAGTGTGGGTTCTGTCAATACACCTCAGAACATAACCCTATGCATACAATTACATATTCCTTAATAAATAATACAGCAGTCTAAGCTCCTTGCTGCTAAAACACAAGTGGCAGTTTTACAGTTGTTTAATCTCAATCACATGGTTTGTTTTTAACAATTTTTAGTCAGCAAATGTAATTTATAAGGTCTTCAATTGGTCAAGTGATTCCCTGTATTTACTTCTCTGATGGAAACTAGAATTTTACCCTGATTTATTATTTAAAATGGACATTTACCTAGGTATAGTAAATAATGAAAGGAAAACAAGTCTCAACATTTTTAGTTAATTTCCTATAGAGTAACTTAGTTTATACACTTGCCATATTTTAAAGTCTACATACAAAAAGACCACAATACTTTAAAGCTCTTGGGTAGCACTGTAACACCTGTGAAACAAATTTAGGAAAATAATGCTGGAAATTACAAGTCTTTAAACTAAGAAAGTCTTGCACAGTTGATTATTATGTAAAGGTAAGATATAAACAATAGTGTAGTAAGATTGAAGACCTAATGTAATAACTATAAAGAACAATATACATGTGTACAAATTGATTGTGGCTGGGGACTGCATGTACCTACATGCTATGCCTACTTTTATTTTAGTTAATTCTTACAGACAGCTCCATAAGTACTTAGTCACAAGGGGTTGTTACCAGTATTATGTGTCTTGTGTTAATTGCTATCCGTGACTTTTGGAAATGTTCTCATCTTGTATTATTAGTAAAGATGATAATATTGATAAATATATCTAATATTGAAGTCAATAGCATTAGAAACCTCAGGATATGGTGAAATCAAGTGAGGTCACAAGGTCTTGTAATTGACTCCATAATGGCTGAATACTTGTTGAGTTGTCTGTGTAAACATTTCATAAAACAAAACTACACTGAACACTACATTTTTTAGTTGAGAATATAGTGGAAAGGTAAGGCCAGTCACTTGTTGAATCTGTGAATCTCTGCATCTGTAGTTGAGACAAGTGATATCCCCCAAAACCCATCCAAGCTCCATCTTGCTATACATAGGAAAGAACTAATAGCCTTTGCTGGTGTGAAAATGACCAGCCTTGCTTCTTGTGGTCCTGTTCTGAATTCCCACAATTTTACCATCCGAAGACCATATAAATGCACTTCCAGTTAGTTGCCTTATAGTACAAGTACTTCTGTACTAACCCTGAACTAACCACACTCCATTACACCCACACACCCAGAATACAGATTGAAATTATGCCCCGTAAATGTGCAAGCGTTAATTCTCTCTCCTCTCTCCCTACAGACGAAGGGTACATCGTCCTTCGGAAAGCGGAACAATAAGACGCACACTTTGTGCCGTCGATGTGGGAAGTCCTCTTACCACATTCAGAAGAAGCAGTGTGCGCAATGCGGCTACCCCAAGAAGAAGCTTAGGCGCTGTAAGTTTCGCTGGATCTGTTTCCTTGATGCTACGAAGTCAAGATTATTTCCATCTTTCTCCTGGTCTTCCTCCCTCTAACACTATTTGTTTCCCTGTACTCTCCCCATCTTGGATCTTCTTCCCCCCCCCCCCCCCTGCATATTTTCCTTTTAATACTCTAAACATTTGGCAGCTTTGGTCTTGTGCTGCCTCTTGTCTGTTACTGGAACTTTCTTAGAGGAGATTCAGTATTTTGAATTGGCAAAATGTACAGACAGCAATGACAAATGTTTCCACTTGTAATTACCCTTCAGAATTGAGCACAATGGCTGCAGTACTCATTTCCCTCTTCACAATCCTATGTTTATTTCACTATTCCCTTCTTTTCATTCTCATCTTGTGTTCCGTTACTCTTCCTTTACTGCCTCATTTCCTCTTCACTTTCATTCCTGTTTCATTCATTTTGTCCTTTTCTTCTCTACTTCTTTACCCCCCCCCTCCCCCCCTCCCCCCCACTTCTCCTGTTCACTCCAGCTCCTGCACCATGTAGCATTTTTTTCTCGTTCTCTCATGGTCTTCTAATTCTTTCCAACCTCCTCGTCGCCACCTCGATTCTCGTACTGCCGCGCCTGCCCTATTTTGTCCTCACTATCTCCTCTGTTCCCTACTTTCCTGTCCCATCCCCCCCCCCCTATTCCCCCTAATTCTCGGTTCCACACATTGTTTTTCTACCTCGTTCTCCATCTCTCCCTCCCTTTATCCTTAAAATATCCGACTTCAGAAAAGGTGTATTGCATGCATTGCGTGTTATTGAATTAGGTCTACTGTATAGCCGGTGTCAGTTGCATGTAGTAAATTACACTTTTCCGTAAATGTCACCGATGTTTGTATTTTGGTATAACAATGTACTGGAGTTTAGTCTGAATTAACCATCCCGTTTGGAATTGGTGTGCGAGGCGCGATCCATGTTCCCTTCCTGCAACGGAGCTGCCGCGCCAAATAATCACTCGTTACACAGCAATCGAGAATTGTCAAGAGGAGCCCGTGGCAGATGCAGCATTAATGCAAACTGTTTACACCTTTCGTCGCTCGTGAAATCGCTGTTGCTAATTGCATTTGTTCTTTACAGACAATTGGTCCATCAAGGCCATCCGCAGGAAGACGACCGGCACTGGCCGCCTCCGCTACCTCAAGGTCGTACGCAGGCGCTTCAAGTGAGTGTTCGAGGCTCGTTTCGGGGGCTCGGCTTATGGGTGCTTTGTTGACTTCTGTTATTTGCTTTTCTTGAAATTTTTGAAGTCGTTCCGAGGACTTTTTGTAACAGGCGCCTCTTTTTCTTCCGCAGGAATGGCTTCCGTGAGGGCAAGGCCCCGACGAAGAAGATTCGCACCAACAAATGATTTAATCAATAAATTGGGTTAAATATTTACGTGTTTTTTACTTATCCACTAAATGTCAATCACGGCATTATTACACACCGATGCTTACACTGCAGACAATGACGCTCGCCAGAACGCGCCTATCTGAAAACCCTTAAATCAAAATCCACAAGAAGCACCACCACTCGGTGAGAAAGCAGAACTTAAACAAAACAAAAAAAAAGAAAAGCTAATTCCGTAAAAACCGGCAACCTATATATCCCCACATACCCATCCCCCCCTTTCCACCTGCACCCCATAGGCCTCCCTCGACAGTAGTCCCCCTTGCAATTTCCCCGTTTTCTGTGGCGTGGCGCGCGAGAGAGCACGCGAGAATCGATGGTTTTGCTCGGCGCCTGATAGATGGCAGCAGGAATGACCTCCGCGAACACCCGCTCTGTTTACCCCGAGATGTCACCCTCCATTATGGATTAACGCCTTCTCTCTCGCACAAGGTTAGCGCCCGCCCGCCCGCCAACCCGCCCACGACGAGCAGCGAGAGATGCGCCATGGCCACTGAGAGCAGCGGCCCCGCAGGAGACGGCGCTCGGGAGGGAAGGACCGCGGGGATGGTGGTGGCCGTACGTGTTTGTTTATGTTGTCCTGGGCCTTTTGTGCACGGGGAGGGAGGGGGGCGGGGGGAGGAGGGCAGGGACCGGGCTTGCTGAATGCTACTTTGGGGTCGAGGGGGGAAAGGGAAGGGGAGGGGATGGGAGGACGAGGTGACGATGAGGAGGGAAGGGGGGGGGGGGGGCGGTCTCGCTAATTGGGGGTCTCACCTCGCGCGGGGGGAGGGGGAGGGAGGGAGGTTGCTAGGCTTTGTTTTTTTTTTGTTTTTTTTTAATCAATTTGGTTGATTTTTCTTTTTGACTAGGATCAATTTAATTTTATTTGAAAGTGTTTGTGAGAGGCTTTTGTGTTGCAGGGAAGCCCTTTGTGTCAGGTGAGGCACTGCAGTGGTGTGCTTTTTCCGCGCTGGATTTTGCGCCTGTGCCCGTCCAGTGGAAATTGAATAGTGGAAAGAAGGCAGACGTGGTATTGGATACGATGCTATTGGCAAAGTGGAAAATTTTACGGTACTTGCGCTGGCTCTGACTTCACTGTAAACGCGATGCAACGTTTATGCATTTTTAAATTTGCAAGTTATTTACAGGGTGATTCATTAAGAGGGTGATATCTATTTAAAAACTTTTGAAAATGCTAGCCTAGCATATGGAGTGCAAAGTGTCAAGTGGTATACAGTATACATTTCGCAGTCGTTGCTTGACTTCTTGGAAATGCCAAAGTGTCTGAAATATTACAATAAGTGACCTAAGCGGTGGATATAGCAGATAACTCTAGATAATCGGTCTGTGCTTTTAGTTTAAATACAAGAGCATGTTACAATTGTGATATATATATCAATCTAATTGTGGAAAAAAAATATCAAAACTGTTCATAATTTCCCAAGAAGGGTGATTGTCCAGATTTGTTGTTCAAACTGGAAAAAAATACGGGATAAATTGCAAAAAAAAAATAGATGTTCTTAGAAGACAAAATCTGCACAAAACAAAGGCATGACCAATGTATACCAAAAATCCTTAAGTTGTGCTAATTGCAGCTGTGCTTAGCTCTCCAACAATTCTTGCAAGATATATTTCAAAGGCATTGACAGTATTGTTAAATAAAGAACCAGTCTGAACTTGGTCTTGCTAAATCTGTATGCAAGGTTTTTCTTTTGCTAGAATGCATGGACAAGAGTATTTGATAGTCCATATATTATCAACAATAATAATAACAAGAAAAAGAAAAGACAGATCCTTTTTGTCTTGACCTATTTCACTGGAAATTTATACTTTTTTTATAGCTGTAACAACTGATCTATGGCTGCAGCTCATCATGAAATGAGCCTAGAATAGGTAAAACCTGGCCTCCAAATTATCATTAGGACCAAAATAATTCCAAATAGAATCTTGTTTTTCTTAATCTACATAACAAATTAAAATCCATTTCAACAAGTGGGCTCACTTGTGAGATGCTGAAGACACTACTCTCCTCAGTCACTGTTATGCATACCAGAATTTAGTGAACAGTGTCTTGATCTATGGGTACGGGGGTTTTAGGTACTTCGTAATTTTTTAGAATTCAGTGAAGGTATATTTTAGAAGGAAAGTTATAACCTCTATAGACTATAAACATCTGTCAAATACACATTTGGTCTGCACAAACAAATGTAACAAGTAGTTCGGAGTTAGGAGCTCTTTTATGTAACGTTATATCTGGAGTGTAATTAAGACACTATTATATGTATTCTAGAAATGTCATATATCCTTACTATAGGCAATTTCATGGCTGGTACTATTTTCAATACAGAACTCGAGTGAGGGAATGGAGTATTTTTAGATATTCATTATATTCACCACAGTGTTCACAGGGTTATTGAAAGCAACATAATCTCACTTGTCTATTAAGCTGTCTTTAGTACATATTACAATTGAAGATCCTTCAGTATGTAGTATGGTTGGGCTTTCTGAAGTACTGTACATATTATATATATGCTTTCTTCATTGGATAGTATTATTGGGATTTTAACACCTGGGTTTTTGAGTCAGTTTAGCTCACCTTTTCTCATAGCTGTTTTGGAAGAAACTAGCATAAATATTTCTCTATTTTTTTTACTACTTTTAAGAATCTCAGCAAATATATTGACAATGAAAAAGTGACTTGATACAATAAGAAGATAAAGCATGTATATGTAAATCTGGACTTCATTTCCAGGGTTTGGGCAGGATGAACCAAGACCAGTTTCTGCTGAAGTGGAACAACCACCAGAATAATTTTGTCGAAGTGTTTAGCTTTTTACGTACGCAGGTGAGCTGGGATGGAATAAAACATGTATCAAACAAGTTGAATTTAGTAGGTCACATGTTGGTGTAGTTCATATTGCTTTCAGAAATTTAAATAATTCATTTATTGGTAAAAAAGAAAAAAAAAAAAAAAGTATTAATAGTTTTTCATTTAGTCAAATCATTTATTTAGCGTCTTTTTTATCTTGGAATTTAATTACACATCTTAATGGCTCCTTCTATCAGGATGCTTTTGTCGACGTTACCCTCGCCTGTGATGGGAAGACATTTTCAGCTCACAAGGTTGTACTCTCTGCGTGTTCGCCATATTTCCAGGTAAGATTGGTATTGTGTAGAGATTCAGTGAAGAGTATTTCACTTTATTTCTTTTCCTGATTTTCTTCTTGTATTTTTTTTCTTATTTACTCCATGTCTTCTCCTTTCCCTTTTTTATCTATATCATCCTCCTCCTCCTCTTCCCTCCTTCTCCTTCTCCTTCTCCTCTTCTTCCCTCCTCCTCCTTCTCCTCCTCTTCCCTCCTTCTCCTTCTCCTCCTCCTCCTGTTCCCTCCTTCTCCTCCTCCTCTTCCCTCCTTCTCCTTCTCCTTCTTCTTCTCCTCCTCCTCTTCCCTCCTTCTCCTTCTCCTTCTCCTTCTCCTCCTCTTCCCTCCTTCTCCTCCTCTTCTTCCCTCCTTCTCCTCCTCCTCCTCCTCCTCCTCCTCCTCCTCCTCCTCCTCCTCCTCCTCCTCCTCTTCTTCCCTCCTTCTCCTTCTCCTTCTCCTCTTCCCTCCTTTTCCTTCTCCTCCTCCTTCTCCTCCTCCTTCTCCTCCTCCTCCTCTTCCCTTCTCCTCCTTCTCCTCCTCCTCCTTTTCCCTCCTCCTCCTCCTCCTCCTCCTCTTCTTCCCTTCTCCTCCTCCTCCTCCTCTTCTTCCCTTCTCCTCCTCCTCCTCTTCCCTCCTCCTCCTCCTCCTCCTCTTCTTCCTTCTCCTCCTCCTCCTCCTCTTCCCTCCTCCTCCTCCTCCTCCTCCTCCTCTTCTTCCCTCCTCCTCCTCCTCCTCTTCTTCCCTCCTCCTCTTCCTCCTCTTCTTCCCTCCTCCTCCTCCTCCTCCTCTTTTTCCCTCCTCCTCCTCCTCCTCTTCTTCCCCCCTCCTCCTCCTCCTCCTCTTCTTCCCTCCTTCTCCTTCTCTCCTCTTCTTCCCTCCTTCTCCTCCTTCTCCTTCTCTCCTCTTCTTCCCTCCTCCTCCTCCTCCACCTCCACCTCCACCTCTTCCCTCCTCCTCCTCCTCCTCCTCCTCCTCCTCCTCCTCCTCTTCTTCTTCCCTTCTTCTCCTCCTCCTCCTCCTCCTCCTCCTCCTCCTCCTCCTCCTCTTCTTCTTCTTCCCTTCTCCTCCTCCTCCTCCTCCTCTTCTTCTTCTTCCCTTCTCCTCTTCCTCCTCCTCCTCCTCCTCCTCCTCTTCTCCCCTTCTCCTCCTCTTCTTCTTCCCTTCTCCTCCTCCTCCTCCTCCTCTTCTTCTTCCCTCCTCCTCCTCCTCCTCTTCCTCCTCCTCCTCTCCCTCCTCATATTTCCTCCTCCTGAGATTTTGTATTTCATTCCATCTTTTGAGCATATTCTTTTTTTTTCTACTTCCTTTTTTCATTACATAACAGATGCTTTTAATTCAGATCTATTCATGTTTTCCGTCATATTGTTTCTGCTTCCACTAACTAATGTACATTTGACAGGTTTGATATTAGGTAACAGTCATTTAAAAGGTATCAGGTGTATATGACATTACATTGCATGGAAGCCACAAGAATGGGGAGGTAAACATTTAGGGATAACCGTTCAGTGGCATAAAAACAGGTATCGAGTTGATTGATTGATCCACCCCCCCCCCCTTTTCCGTTTCTGTTTTCACGGCTTCCTCTCCGTTTTATTTAAATTTTCCTGCATCTTTTTTACTCTTTCTTCTTCCTCTGTTTCTTCACTTCTTCTATTTCTTGTTCAGATTCTTTTCCCTCCTCCTCCTTTTAGTCTACTTCTTCCTTGTTAAAATCTTGGTTAAATGTTTGTTACACATGTGTAGATTAGGATGTATGGTTGGTAGATAAAAAGAAATAATGGGAATTCAAAATACTTTCTAAAAAGACACTAAACCTTTCAGATAAGTGAGTTTCTTAACAAATTGTGGAATCATTTTTATATAATAGAAGAACCCTTAGAACAGCGGTTCCCAAGGTAGGCTACGGCAAGGCTTTTCAGTGGATGCAGGATTGCTCTCAGTTTTTAGTTATTTTTTCACTTGTATTTAATTGGAGTATATATTTACCAACTTTCAGGTTTTTGTTGATTTTTTAAAGATTGCTAATTTCAGTGGTGTACATTACATAATGCATTTTATGAAGAGTCAAGACAGGAACACTCAAAACTATAAGGGGTTTGCTGTTTGTGATACAAGGCTGCAAGGGGAATGTAATCACTTAAAGTTTGGGAACCACAGCTGTAGGAAGTGCTATGTATAATACATCCAATCTCAGGAAAGGTAAACTGGCAGCCTACCCTTTCCCTCGGGTTATTTATTCAAGTCAGCTAAC